ACTGATTTGTTTATTTCTTCCGTGAAGGTGAAAGGGATGTTCTGTTTGGCCATCAACATAGACATCTTTACTTCAGCATACACAACATTTACACACTAATTCAACACGAAAATGAACCTTCGCAAGGTCCTTCGGCAATTTTTTGGCATGCCAAAGATTTTCCCACCGCTCACGAAGTTGCTGCCGGAGCCTGAGACACTACACCGGCAGTCATACGATGGCTTAAGATGCCCTCACGAATGGCCCGATGTTGTTACGATCAGAGCCGAATTTGAACATTTCCTTTATCGTGTGTCCATCTGGTTGTTTTATTGCACAACAAAATCATGTAAACATATTATGTAAATAACCCAATTTGTGTTCTGTGAAACTGAAAAGGATATAATATATTATTTTGAAGGCGAGTTGACAGGAAGTTGTTGTTGCTATGGAAACAACATTACGGAGAAAACGTAATATCTTCTACATATAAAGACGGAGAAAGTAAAGAACAAAGTCTGAAAATATCAGTACAGTATCATAATACTTTAACATAATCGTTTGTGTTACTTTCGTTGCAGTTGTATTTCTTAAATGTAATGTAAATGTTGCCTTCGTGTGGTTCGGGGCCATCTTCGTGCAAAATTCACAATTCCATATTCGTGTGTCCATCGGGTGTCCATTTCGGGACAGTGTGACAGGGGCTTTACTGCACACTAATTCATAGTTTCTAATTAGCTTCAAGTGTTGGAAGGATGTATGATTCAAACACTTAATAACAATAGTTTCTTTACAAATACATTTTAAACAAGCATTAAACACAAATAAATACACAAATGACAAAAAATACAAAGAAACATGAGAACAGAAAGCAGTAAAGCATGACGTTGTGAGAGGGAACAGGAGAAAGCTAATTATACTAAAGTGTGCACTGGAGGCTACGGATGCAGGACCCAGACGCAGTGCAAAAACAGGGAGGCAGATATAAACGAATATAAACAAAAGACGAGCTTTATTAGAAGTAAAAGATGGTAACAGAGAAACAGGTACAGACCGGGGAGCACGGAGAGGACCGAGAGGACTGACTGCAAATCAACAAGAAACTCTAGTGAAAGCAACACTAAATACACACAAGGTCATGAAGACACACGGCCCACCTGGGGAGGGGAGGTGAAACACAATCACACCGTCACACAGGAGGGACGTAAGAAACCAGGAGAAAACACATTTTAAAACAAAACAGGAAACTATAAACACAAAACCTAACACCGTGACAAAATGTTATTATAAATAAGGATAAATATGTTCCCCACCCAGCACCAGTCACCTTCACGCTGCTATGGACAATACATCCTCTTGTTTTATATATATCCTGCTTACTGAAGTAAACGGTTATTTTGTGGTTTTTTTGTAAACTATTGAGTGTTCTTGCATTTTAATGTGTGAGTTTTTTATACCTCGGGACTGTGGGAAACAGTATTTCGATCCTTCTGTGTGCACAAACATATTTTGAGATTGACAAACAGTTGACTTTGACTCGACTCTCTCCCTCCTCTTCAGTTCCGGGTGCTCACGGCTCCGTTCCACCGGGTGGAGTTTGCAGACTTCTGGCTGGCCGACCAGCTGAACTCTCTGGTGTTCGTCCTGATGGACCTGGAGTATCTCGTCTGTTACTACATCTTCGAGCTGCAGTGGAGCAACAGCAGAGGGCTGCTGCCCCGCGACCAGGGTGAGACTTTCAACTCCTCTGAACAGATGGAACAGAGAGAGGTCAAACTTCCCAGTTACAGAAAAAATACACCTGAAAATATACGATAACAAAGAAGGATTCTGAAGGACACTTTGTTTTTTGGTTATATTTCTTTATATGTGTCTCTACTTTAAAGAGTCCTCTCCTGCTGATGTTCAGGTGTATATCAGTATGTAGTGTCTCTACTTTAAAGAGTCCTCTCCTGCTGATGTTCAGGTGTATATCAGTATGTAGTGTCTCTACTTTAAAGAGTCCTCTCCTGCTGATGTTCAGGTGTATATCAGTATGTAGTGTCTCTACTTTAAAGAGTCCTCTCCTGCTGATGTTCAGGTGTATATCAGTATGTAGTGTCTCTACTTTAAAGAGTCCTCTCCTGCTGATGTTCAGGTGTATATCAGTATGTAGTGTCTCTACTTTAAAGAGTCCTCTCCTGCTGATGTTCAGGTGTATATCAGTATGTAGTGTCTCTACTTTAAAGAGTCCTCTCCTGCTGATGTTCAGGTGTATATCAGTATGTAGTCGTCTCTACTTGTGTACTTGGGTCCGTTCCTTCTCTGAGA